CGCGGGCTCCCCCTTGGCCGCCCCACCCCCAGGCCCCTCGGTGCAGAAGCGGTGACATCATCCCCTCTGGGCCGCAGCCCAGGGCTGGAAGCCTACTTTCCCCCTGAAGTCCCTCCTTTTTAGTCTGGTCAGTCGTTTTTCTTCGGACCAAGAGAAAGAACCTCTGGCAGTTGTTTTCGACACCGGATACAAGACGGTGCGGGAGAGAATTTCAAGAGAGAGAAAGACATTCTTTGGCGTGAAAACTGAACTTTGCTCCCTCTGCCTTAGAGTTTTTCCAAGTATAGAGTTGGGGGGAAATAGGAGCTTCTGCTGCCCTCTAATTCTGAAATATATTTGCTTTCTCCGGTAGGCGGCATGAGGAGCGCTGAGGACAGTTGGGACACTGTCCTGCGAGGCAGGGGAGAGTGCAGTGGATGTCGGAATAGGAGGGACACATTGTATAAATTACCCCACTCCGCCCTTAGTTGTGTGGAGTGTGGTTTGTTGTTGTTGTTGCTGTTGTTGCTAGTAGATAGTTTGGGCCGAAATTTTTCCAGTATAACACTTGGTTTGTTTCTGCTTCAGGAACTTAATAGAACTGGGGGAAGGTGTGCTAGCATCTTCCAGCTTGGAAAATGTCTTCCAACATTCCCTCTTCCTTCTAACTCCCTGTTCCCCTCTCCAGCATTAGTGGAACCCAGGAGAAAACATCAGACACCACAATCTGAAAGGTCTCCCCAGCTCTGATCCTTCATGCCAAAGGATTTCCACCTCAGCAGCCTAAAATCTTGATTTTTGATGTGCTCAGAGACTGTTGCTTGAGTTGAGTAAGAAGCTATGAAGCTGTGTACTCTGGGATGCAAATATGTATGCTTTGCTTTCTCTTTTATCTTATTTGCATTAGGAAGAGGTAGTAAATTCAATTGCTGGCTCAGCTATCCACAGAAAAGGGAGGCTTTATTTATATAAGATTGATGTATGTCAATCTTCAGGTGGTAAGACTTCGGGTATATGCTATTTTTTAGGGCATCAGGAATATGGAAACATGTTCTCTGAATGTTAATCTTTAAAAACATAGTTTAACTTAAATTTAAGGCACACAATTTTTCTCTCCAAAGCTTAAACCTACACAATTAGTTTAGTTTTGACTGAAGATTAAAACTGAAGACTAAGGATTAAAACAGCCGAGGAAACAACAAGCACAAGTGACATCTACTGGGAATTTACAATGGTCAAGACATGGAGCTAAGAACTTTAAATGCATTATCTTGTTTATTAGGGAACATGAATTAAACATAGTAAGTGAAAAGGATAAATGAGACAAATACATTTCAGGATTCATCCAAAGAGTGGTTCTTATTTAGGGGAAGCCCACGGTGTTCTTACACTGACAAGCCACTCTAGAAAGGTAATCCAGTTCCTGTGGAACAGGTCTCAACCTCCAAAGATGCCAAGCCAGGCTAGTAAAATATCACATTAGGAGGAAAGCCCAGATGACATCTCAAGTGATTTCTAGCAGTAAACTCCAATGAGCCTAAACCCTTCACTGAGCGAAAAAGATTTTCGGCTGTGGTTCCTACCAGGGGAGCGAGAGAAAGAGCTGAACTACCCTATACTTTTCCTATGAGTCTGAGCAGGGAAAACTTGGAGAGGGCTCAAATTTCTGCAGCCAGTTTGAACCTGCTGCATCTGTTTAACTATGTAAGTACCAAGTCACAAAGTCTCGTGGGCTTCCCTGATGTTATCTGAGGCATGCCTTTTTTGTTTGTTTGTTTTTGTTTTTATTATTATACTTTAAGTTCTAGGCTACATGTGCATAACATGCAGGTTTGTTACATATGTATACTTGTGCCATGTTGGTGTGTTGCACCCATCAACTCGTCAGCACCCATCAACTCGTCATTTGCATCATGTATAACTCCCAATGCAATCCCTCCCCCCTCCCCCTTCCCCATGATAGGCCCCGGTGTGTGATGTTCCCCTTCCCGAGTCCAAGTGATCTCATTGTTCAGTTCCCACCTATGAGTGAGAACATGCGGTGTTTGGTTTTCTGTTCTTGCGATAGTTTGCTAAGAATGATGGTTTCCAGCTGCATCCATGTCCCTACAAAGGACACAAACTCATCCTTTTTTATGGCTGCATAGTATTCCATGGTGTATATGTGCCACATTTTCTTAATCCAGTCTGTCACTGATGGACATTTGGGTTGATTCCAAGTCTTTGCTATTGTGAATAGTGCCACAATAAACATACGTGTGCATGTGTCTTTATAGCAGCATGATTTATAATCCTTTGGGTATATACCCAGTAATGGGATGGCTGGGTCATATGGTACTTCTAGTTCTAGATCCTTGAGGAATCGCCATACTGTTTTCCATAATGGTTGAACTAGTTTACAATCCCACCAGCAGTGTAAAAGTGTTCCTATTTCTCCACATCCTCTCTGGCACCTGCTGTTTCCTGACTTTTTAATGATTACCATTCTAACTGGTGTGAGATGGTATCTCATTGTAGTTTTGATTTGCATTTCTCTGATGGCAAGTGATGATGAGCATTTTTTCATGTGTCTGTTGGCTGTATGAATGTCTTCTTTTGAGAAATGTCTGTTCATATCCTTGGCCCACTTTTGGATGGGGTTGTTTGTTTTTTTCTTGTAAATTTGTTTGAGTTCTTTGTAGGTTCTGGATATTAGCCCTTTGTCAGATGAGTATATTGCAAAAATTTTATCCCATTCTGTAGGTTGCCTGTTCACTCTGATGGCAGTTTCTTAATACCACACATCTACAGCCATCTGATCTTTCACAAACCTGAGAAAAACAAGAAATGGGGAAAGGATTCCCTATTTAATAAATGGTGCTGGGAAAATTGGCTAGCCATAAGTAGAAAGCTGAAACTGGATCCTTTCCTTACTCCTTATACAAAAATTAATTCAAGATGGATTAGAGACTTAAATGTTAGACCTAATACCATAAAAACCCTAGAAGAAAACCTAGGTAATACCATTCAGGACATAGGCATGGGCAAGGACTTCATGTCTAAAACACCAAAAGCAATGGCAACAAACGCCAAAATTGACAAATGGGATCTAATTAAACTAAAGAGCTTCTGCACAGCAAGAGGCATGCCTTTTAAGAGGAAATGAAGACCCCTTCTTCCTAAAGCTCTGTGCCTGCCCCATTTGGCCCATTGGTAGTGTCTCTAGTGGTTCTACAGAGAGGGGGCAGCAGGGAAGAATGCATCAGGAGAACCTGTCAACTGTCCCTCCTCTTCATGACCTCCAGGGAGGCTGTGATTCTAGAACACCCTACTTCAGCATTCCGTCCATTCTTTCCATGCCTTACATTTATTTAACAAGGCTCAGTTGCCTTATTCAGTGGCTTCTCTCTGGTGATTCCTTTTGGTCTCCTCAAGTGCCTGTTCTCTGCCCATCCTTTAAATGTCTGGAGCTCTCTGGGGCTCCATCCTAACCCTTCTTCTCACACTCAACGCTCCCCTGAGCTGCAGGTTTTCTCACCCCCAACACTTTTGACATTTGGGACCAGATAATTTTCTCTTCATTTGAGTCAGGCGAGGTGACTGTACTGTGCATTGTAGGAAGTTTAGTAGCATCCTTGGTCTCTACCCACAAAATGTCAGCAGTAACCTCCTCCCCATCTACATTGTGACCATCAAAAATGTCTCTAGATATTGCCAAATGTTTCTTTGCTGGGAAGGGGGATGTGGAATTGCCCCAGAAACCACTGTTCTACTCTTCGGCTTCAGTTACCACTTACGTACCTATGGCTTCCTAATCCAAAAGCTCTGCTGGTTTCCAGAAGGATTTATCAAGCTGTCCTTTGGATATTTCTACCTTAATATTCCACAGTCAGTTCAAAATCAACCAATCCTGAAATGAACTGATCATCTCTCCTCACGCAGGGCTGGACTCCCAGTGGCCCAAACCAGAAACCTCTCTCTCTGAGTTGAAATGCTTCTCTACAGCTCCCAACTGTCTTCCACCCTCTCCATGACCACTCCTGCTGCCTTAGCTGAATCAGGATCATCTCTTTCCAGGATGTTAACAGTAGCTTCCTCATCTCCCTGCCTTCCCTCTGGCCCTACCCCTTCTGTTGCCTAAGTGGGCTTTCCAAAGCATATGCCTGATGATGCTTCTCCCTAGCTTTACATTGATTGATAGTTCCCACAGTCCTCAATATGAATGACAAAACCCTTAAAATGAGTGCTATGGCTTCAGAGTACTCCTCTACCTTGTCCTTGAACCACAGCATTATTCTTTTCTTGTCCTTGTGTCCTTCATTCAGGAATGTTATTTCCCACGTTCACCTGGCTCAATCTTAATCATCCTTGAAATACAGTTCAATTGGAAAGACGCTATACATTTTTTAAGTTCCTTTCTTTTTTCTTGATTTCATATTTTATCACTATATTTTTAGAGACAGGGTCTCACCATGTCGCCCAGGCTGGATGGAGTGCAGTGGCTTGATCATAGCTCACTGAAACCTCTAACTCCTGGGTTCAAGCGATCCTCCCACTTCAGCCTCCGGAGTAGCTGGGATTACGGGTGTGTGAGCCCCGCTCATTCCATGCTATAGATCCTAACATTACATAAATATAAACCCAATTAACCTTGTTCTTGAAGAAGCGAAACCCCCCAGACACCCAAACCACTCAGCTGGTGGTATTGCCAGGCGATGGGAGGAGCAGTCTCACTGCAATGTGACCTTGAGGCAATGTCCATGAGTCCTACGCCCAATGCAAGGGGTTGTCTACTAGTCTCCTAGACTCTTCACTGGGAATGGGGGCTGAGAAGCGGCCATGATGAATAGTTAGTATCGTTTCTTCAGGAAAAAACTCGTCTTTCCACTTTTAATTTGGAGGAAGAAGTTTGCATTTTTGTCGAGGGGCAATGCACAGCAAACGCAGCAGCTCTGCTTTTCCTATCTTGATCTTGAACTTGCCCCTCCGTGTGTGATTACCTGTTGAACACTGAAGTTAGTAGAGAAACACACTTCTTGGCACAGTCTCCCCGCAACCCCCCTCTTAAAACGCCATGCCTCCCAGGATGCTAGTGGCACCACTGCCACTGCATTTCCTGTTGGCAGCAGTGAGCAGTGAAAACCCGAAGCGGCAGCAGGCAGTGGCGACAGGCAGTGGCCCAGGCAGAAATAGCTCCTGCGCGATTCACTGGAACCTTCCCAGGGCCCTGGTCCTGGCTACCGGGACTCGCGCGTCCGGATCTCGAAAGCGGCAGAGGCCACCGCAGGGACAGGAAGTACTTTGGTCCAGACCACACTCCCGGTACAGTGTGGAGAGAGCCGGTGGGAGCCACTCTGATCCCGGACGCCTCAGCTCCCCCTTGGGCTCGAGCTTGCCCTCGGGCCGGGGAAAGATGATCGCGATGCCAGGACGCGCTCCCCTCCACACCGTCCCGGGTGCTCTGGGCCCCTGGCTGCTGGGCTGCGTCTGGGCCTGGACCCTGTGCGGCCTGTGCAGCCTGGGGGCGGTGGGAGCCCCGCGCCCGTGCCAGGCGCCACAGCAGTGGGAGGGGCGCCAGGTTATGTACCAGCAAAGTAGCGGGCGCAACAGCCGCGCCCTGCTTTCCTACGACGGGCTCAACCAGCGCCTGCGGGTGCTGGACGAGAGGAAGGCGCTGATCCCCTGCAAGAGGTACAGGTCACCGGCCCGCGGGGCGGGAGTGGGGAGCCGCGCGGGCCCCGGGAGGGTGAGGTCGCAGAGGCCTGCGCCCTGTAACTCTTTCCAGCCCCTTGCAGCTCCTCCCTTCTCCCAGAGAGATCCTTCGCAAGGAGGGTCGCTTGGGGATAGCATGGTAGGGGGCTGGGAGGGGCGCTGCGCCCACCGAGGGCGTCCTGCTGGCGGGGGACTCAGTAACACCCAGCGAGGCGGTGGCAGGTAAAGAAGGGACCCATCCAGGGCGGGATCGAGCTGCAGGGCCCCCCGTGCCCAGGTTCGCCCCTGTTCTCACGCTGCTGAGTCAGGCTCTGGGCTCATGGAGCCCCCTGCAGTCTAGGGCGTGTCTTCTGCACTATCTCATTTCTTTCTAGAGCCATCTGCGAGAGAGGCACGCAGAATATGTATTTTCTAAGAAATACTTTTTGTATTTTAAAAGACTGTCGCAAGACTACAAACAGTGTGGGAAATTGATAAAAAGAAAATTTCACCCACAAACTTATCAAATAGTTACAGCTATTAAAATTTTGGTCTACTCCCTTTAGGTTTTTTGTTTTTTTTTAAAGCAAATTTTACATACCATGATCAAAAGCCATATGTTATCCTAATCCTTTTTAACTTAACGTTGTCCCTTATAGGTTCTTATTTGCCATGTTATTAGCTGGCCTCCTATTTTTAATGACTGCACAGTACTCCTTATAGGGGCAAAGCTGTAAGTTTCTTTTAATAACTGGTCTGACCATTCACCTTTGCACATCTGTTGTGACAAAGGGCACCCTCTTTCTGAGACATCATCTTGCTTGTGGCCCCTTTAAGACCTGGTTTCTAATTTGAGATCACCACCTGTCTCCTTTCCAGAGCCCTGCCATTCCCTCTAAGTGTGTTCCTCTCACTGCCTCTCTTTATGACATTTGCATCATTGGGAGTTGCAAAGTGAATTTTCATGGTTTGAAACTTCAGTGGACTGTAAGATCTATAGCAAAAGGGCACTATTAGTTTATAGAACAAAATCAAACTTGATAATATCATTTATTCTAAAAGCATTTGTACAAGTATTAGGTGACTTGAAGAAAGTGTGGAAAGGGCAGACCCTTTCAAGCAATATCAAGGGTGCAAAATAATGCATTATGAAATGCAGAGCAGCACAGTCATCGTGGTGAACTGGGAATTGATTCCAAGTCTTTCAAGAACATGAATGTTTTCAGTAGGGTCTTGAAGGGCACAGCAATAATAATAACAACCAACAGTTGAATACTTCTTATATATGAGGCATGACACTGAGGATTTTACATGTATTCTATAATTTAGTTTAAATCTCACAATAACTTGACAGTATAGGTTTTATGATCTCCGTTTTACAGACAATAACTCTAAGGTCTAGGGAGATTAAGCAACTTTCTTAAGATCACACAGCTAATACTTGAGGAAGCTGGGTGGATTCTGACGCCTATGGTATACCAGGTTCACATTCATTCATTCATTTAATAAGCATTTGTTCATGTTAGGCACTGTGTATAAACAGAGTGATGCCTGGCTTTCGGGGAGGTCAGAGTCTGGAGGTGAAGTCGCATAAATAAAAAAAATTCCCATACAGTGGTATGAGGGGTGAGAGCTGGGGTGTGATGAGAAGAACTCAGCTGGGCACCTAACCCAGGCTTCCTGGAGGAGCTGAAATGAGAGTGAGTTCCAAAACACCTGTAGAGGTTTCCCAGGGAGATGTGGAGAGACTGCTGGTCCAGGGGGATGCAGGTGTATCCATGCCTGGTATGTGTGTGCCATCCTTGCGTGTATAGATCTGAGTAAATTCCAAAAACCGCAGACCACTCATTATTAGGGCTGAAGCACAGGACATGGCGAAGGGTCATACTGAAGGAGTTTTAAACTGTGGAATTTGTGATTAGATTATATAAAGATCCATGGATATGTCCTTAAGGATGCATTCCCATGATATGGACACAAAATGGAGCAATGTGGAGCAAAAGTAGAAGTGAGAACACAACCTTGGAGATTTTTGTAGTGGTCCAGGTGAGAGATGGGTAGTAGCAATGGGAATGGTGAGCAGGGTGCAAGTGAATGCATCAGGGAAGTATTGAAGAGGTTCAATTGAGAAACATGTAAATGATTGAATGGGTTGTGGCAGGTGTGGTGAGGGAGAGGAAAAAGTTAAAGAGGCCCCCATTTTTGGCTTGTGAAGCTAATGGTACTGATGGCATAGGGTAGATGGTGATGCTGTTCCTTGCAACAGGGTTTGACTATGTGCACTTCTAATTAAGGGTGAATTGGTATCCTATGTAATTTTCTGTGAAGACTTGTACAGTAGTGGCGCATTGATGAATAGTCATATTGAAGATGGACTGGGATGACCCAGAGCACACTGCTGAAGCAGAGGAGTGTGCCAAAGAGAAGGACAAGGGTTAATCTCCCCAAAGGTAGTATTGTTTTTTTACAGTTAAAAAAATTAGGCTTTAGAGTCAGACAAATCTGGATCTGAGTCCAGACCCTGAATATGGGTCTTTGGGTAAGTTACTAAAGTTTTCTGAGTCTCAGTATCCTCATTTACAAAATGGGAATACTTATAATGCCTAATTTATTGGATTATTGTGAGAATGAAATGAGTTCAAGTATATAAAACATATAGTACAATGTCTGATAGTACACACAAGATACTCTGTTTGTGACCAGGGTTGGACCCATCACTACCACTATCATCATCATCCTGGTAAAGTTACCAGAGCCCAGAGACTTGCTACCAGTCCTTTGGGCTCAGAAACTTGATCCAGCAGCACACACAGACCCTTCCTTTGGGAGCAACCTGTGAGTAAGGAAACTCAAATGCTAAACTGTCTATTTCAATGAGTTTTATCGCTGGCATGCGGACCAGGATTCTCAAATCCACAAGACTAGGTCATTCTCTCCCTGTAGTCAGAACTATGTGGGGAGCCAAATTATCATCAGGCAGTCGTGAGCAAAGAGTTGGAGCAAATTCACTGAACAAACATCTAATAATTGCCTGCCCTAGGTTAGGCTATATGCGCAATGTGGAGTTTTCCATCATGAATAAGACAGGCCAGCCAGGGTTAAGGTTTGATGGTAATCAGGCAAAGGCAAAGTGATGCATTCATTTTCACAATAGAGATGAGTTGGTGGTTCTGTGCTACCCCAATTGTGCTGCGCCTGACCCCTTCCACTCGGAATGGACCCTTGGCGAGTCCTGCTCAAGTCTGTTTGAGCAACCCTTCTTCCATGACTCCATGACTGATTAATATAACCTTTAGATGTGTGTTTTATACCTTTAGTGGGGTCACAGCCAACTCTTGCTGGCCTAGAAGCATTTTTGTCCCTTTGTGGTGATTTCTCATTCCTCTGCCCTAGTCCAATAGGTGCTGGTTTCACAGTTAAACTTCTAAAAGACATTTTTTTTCCCTTCCTTTCCGAGTTCTTGGCAAGATTCTTTCTCACAGTCACATCGCTGGCCCTAAGTCAGATGTGGAAAAGAATGTTTAATGCATAAACACATTTTTAAGCTCTTTAAGTGTAGATTTGTTGGAACAAACTCAGAAATTTTTTCAGGTATTAACAGTCTGGCCAAGCAACCAGATGTTATTTGAAGAAAATATGGATGAGTTGTCTCTTCACATTTATGAGTAAGTTGAGAAGTAAGTTTTAGAATTGGATCTACTTCTTAAGGTTTTCATTTTTTATCCAGATAGTTATGGAAAATCCCATTGATAGTTACTGTGGAATGACTAGGATTTTCCAGGCTCTCTTTTCCCTGAGATGATGGAAAAGATTAAACAACTTTACAAGCTTCAGATAAGACAAGCCTGAGCAGCAAATGGGAAATTTTAGTAATTGATACCATTTTTATTTTCTAATTCCAACTGTCTTTTCCGACTCCTTGACTAAATTCACAAGTATTTATTTGAAAGACTGAAGGAAAATCAAGAAGATTATTTTCATATTTCAGGCAACATTTTGAACTTTATGGGGGAAGCAACGTTGATACACAATGAACCCTCTCAGGCCACCAGTAACTTAAGGCTCCCCCTTACAAAATGGTGGCTTGGGTGTTGGAATCAATGAAGCTCTTAATGCAGAGTGAGCAGAGAGGCAGTAAAACAATATGCACGGTCTGGTATCTTGGAATATTATTTCATCACCAATCCTACATATTCTATTAAGGATTTGTGTTGTAAAACATGAAAAATATGTCACAAATGGAGCAGCAGGTGGATTCTTATTCAAATTCTGATTAGTTCATGTCTACTTCTCTTGATTCTCCCAGAGCATATTATTTCGTGGAGAAGACAATAACATTAACCTTCTCTTTTTTTAAACAGAGAATCAGCCTCCTGTAGTGGAGAGAGCAGGGGCATTCATGTTAGACCATGATGGAGTGACAACCATGGCCTCTAATCCTGCCTTCACCCCAATAAGGTCCTCAACATTTCAGAACCTCTGTGTTTTTCATCTTTTAGTTTAATTTGAATAATGCCTACAATGTTGATACTAAATCACTTTTAGGCTTTCATTTGTTAAATGCTAGGTACAGATAGGATTAAATGATACCCTGAAGGTACCAATTGTACTTTTATTATATCAGGCTGATTCACTGTTTCTAATGCAACGAACTTGACACAGATTTTAAATTTTTTCTCAACCTATCCCATTATGTAGACAAATGAATTCAAAGTTCTTTTTCTTCCTTCTCTTTTTCACCTAAGCCTGTCTTATGAATAGAGGAAGAGAAGAGGCTACCTTGAAATGCCTCTGGCCCAAACTCAGAAGGCTCTGCACTCAACTGAGCCTCCCTTCCTACTAAGAATGGAATAATGTTTTTATAGGGGTGTTGGTCCAAGTATCAGCTGTGGATGATTAATTCCCAGGGCTGTTATCACCTAAGGTAACTTCAGTAATCTTATGTGTTTGGAAAAGAGGATGAGGATTATTTTTGAAATCCATAATTTTGTTTTATTTTG